TTATATAAAACTTATAATTTTTGTATAAAAAAATCCATGAAACTAAATTTTATCAATAATTATCAAATCTTACATGTTAACACAATCTTCAACATATTCCTTTTCATCAAAATCTATTTCAATCAAAGGATAGTAGAAAAGAAAAAACGTTTAATTAATATTTATAAAATTTCACCGTAACTTCTTACAAATACCATTAAAGTATTTAGAATAATTAGAATTAAGAAAAACTTTTGTAACAAGCGCCATTTAAACAATAACCGCTTTCCAGGAAGTCACGTGCCAATATGGCGGCGAGGGATTGGGATGCGAGCGGTAGCAGGAAAAGGAAAGTGGCCAGAAGCGAAGCAGAGAATTGAAATACGCAGAGAAAAGATCGAGGGACGCGTGGACATTCCGGTATCTTTTTCCCATGCACGTGTACGGCACACAGATCTGTGTACAAAACGGGCACGTCTGGATCGCTTTCGTGATTACGCAAAAATCATTTGCATGACAATGAAGTACGGCCGCCTGTTGGATAGTTTAGCTGGTCGCCCGAAAAAATGCACGCCAGCTCTGAAAAACCGATGGGAAATCGAGCATTCTGGACGAAGAAACGCGCGTGACACCGCTGTCAATCGTTCTTTGCAAATTCAATTCCCACTGTTAACTACACAAAACTAAAAGTCTTGACGAGTTTTTCTTATCCTGTTGTAACTAAGTAAAGTTATTAAACTATAAAATTTCATTTTATTGATGTGAAATGTATGACAAGTATATATAATTCTATATGAATATTTGAAATAAAAAATAAGATGCATTTGCCTAGAACTTTTTGTATAAAAATATCTCGATGAAATTTGCTGGTAACATCTTGTATCTTTGATTTTTTTTCATTTGTTATCAATCGCATATCGCATTCATTAAAAAATAATTTCCAAATTAAAAATTAGATTATTTGTTTTTATAGAAAAATTCAAATAGGAAGTGTAGAAATTATTATTTTTTATAATATTAATAATAACATTAATTAATTATTTTTATTACATTTATATTGAAAAATATATATAATATATTGAAATACTTGTCAAACATTCTTTAAATTATTATTTTGAATATCATTATGAATCATTCAGTTTATTAAAAAAAAAACTGGAAAATGAAATATATTCGTAATTTAAGTTGCAAATAAACATATGAATTTATAATATGTTACTATTTATACTGACATCGTAGTAAAAGCGAAAAATATAGCAAATTTCTATATTTATATTTCAATATCTATATTTCTTTTGGAATAAACTTTGAATAATTTTGATAAAAAACGATATTGTTAAATGTTAAAGTATGTCAGTAAACATTTACATTAATTAGTAAAAGCATGTTCATAAATAAGTATACAATTCTACGAAAGCGTGTAAATATGTAAAATTTAAATTATAATTTTTTTATAAAAAGAATCCAAAGCAAATATTAATTAATGCAACACATTATGATGAAATATTTATACATTTATTAACTGCTACATATACTCTATTGCAATTGCAGCACGTATAAATCTGCCGCAGCATCGTTAAATAAATTTCTAGGAACGATAGTCTTTAAACATGTACCGCGTTCGAATATCGATAATACATGCAATATCGAGTTACCTGGCCGATACTCTTCGGCATCAATCGTCAGCTGTGCAACAGTGTCTTTAAACTGAACAATTCTCGTCAAGTATTAATTATGTACACTCTTAAAAATTACATAGAGAATTACGCATTATTTTTCTTTTTCTTTTGCTACAAGCTAAGAAAAAAAAAGATGCATAATATGCACACAAAAATATGCATTTCAATGCAAAATCTCGTTTTTCAAATTGAAAAATCATTAACCTGTAAAAAGTTAACATTGCCACGCTATGCATTTATATATATATATATTATATATATGTATACTGAATTTAAATGAATTTTGATCGTTAATTCTTTTTTTATAAATACAAACAAAAACTGATAGCTATATTCGGAGATAAATAAATAAAAACAATTTGATTTGCAATACATGAAAAATCAAACGCCTGCTATAACACAAATACGATAAAGTAGATTAAATAATAAAAAAACGAATTAAAATGAATTCTATATTTTTTCATATCCACAATAAAATTAAAAAAAATTGATTCTACGTGTATGTTTATGTTTTTAAGTGTTCTAATAGTTTATGATATTTAAAAAATGTACAATTGTAATTTATAAGCGATTAATTCAAGAACTATATATATTAAATATTCGTATATATTATTTGTAAATTTCCGTATAATCGAATAGAGAAAGCATCATACACGTTATAATAAATTAATATAAGTTTACTAACCGTTCAGAAGCACGTTAATTGCACGCAATTTCGATAACGGCATCCGATTATGTCGTAATTTTCCTTGGCACTATATCTCGTTACCGACAGCAATCTTAGATGCCTGATTAAGATTACTGCGAAAGTATATACACAATATCGTATAGTAAAATATTACGAAATGTTTTCGAAGAGTCCATGAAATGATATGGCGGGAAGTAACAGAAGAAAAAGGGATTACGGACGAACCGACGCCTAGGGCGGGTTCGTCTCTAAATTCACTTTAGTTATAGTAAAACGGACAGAGGGTAGCGATGTGGCTAAGGGACGAACAGATCAAACTGAAGATTGATACTGCAAGTGGAATGGATATATCCATTCTTCTTTTTTATAATCTGACAGCACAACACATGAATAGAAAAGACGAATCATTCCAAGACGAAATGGTTTTAGTGAAATTATGAAAATTTCTGTAAAATCTGCTTACAAACAATGTTATTGAGGCGTTGCATCGATCGTAAAAGAATTAATTTTTCCAGAAAATATGGCAATTAAAAATCGACATTAAGAATTTTCAAATATCTCAAACGAAGAATCTAAGCGCTGCTATTGGGCGATTTTCAAAAACGGTTGACATTACCGCGAGAAACGGTTTTAATATATATATATATATTATATATAATAATATATATAATATATATATATATATATATATATTTCGTCCTTTTTAAATACAGATTATACGATTTACAAAGCCAGTTGCTGATTATTATCGTATTATGTATTACTAAATCATCGATAACGCGTTGCGATACCGACGCGACAACAAAATTCGAGAAAGATAGCTACATCAAATATGTATCGTTCTACGTGGAAGGACCTCGAGCGCCTTTGGAGGTTACATTTCCAACGTAACGCTCTCTGACTTGCAGGGAACCGAGCAGGATGTTGATATAATTTAATAATTTAATTACTTACCATTCGATGAATGTCCAGATTTTCGTACACGATACACTTTTTTTAGGCAATGGATAGAACAAAACTCACAACAGACAAAGGGATAACGAAATAATTTGAACACGACGAGGACGAACACAACACACTCACAGAGTCAGAAAACAGACTGAAGCTAACTGGCCGGGTACTTCTCTTCGACGTTGCTACGAGACGAATCAAAGCGACACTCCTGCCCTCTACTAACGATATCGGAACTATTTAGTTAGCATTCCTAATCGCGCCAAATTTTAAATGTATTCTTTTCTCTTTGTTTTCTTGTACAATTAAATAAAAGTTTAAAACGATAAGATGGATATTAACTAAACTCATTACATGTAATTATACAACACATATACCAATTAAATAAATATAATTAATTGATATATATTATTTATTCTATTTAATTTTAAATAACATTCAATTAACAATTCATATTAACAAAATAGCACAATATTTAAAAGATTTACAATTTTCATGATCTTTGGTTGCGATTTTATATGAAAATATATTATTATTAAATTATGAAATAAATATAGAAGTATATATTATATGTATATTTATACATTCTTACACAATATTTAATTTAACATTATTGCCCAAAATATAACAAAATTTTTATGAACCAATAAACTATTTATTAAAAATTAATATGTTTTGAAACTAATATGATATTGAATATTAAAAATTTGTACTGAAATTAATATCAAAAATAACAACAAAAATTTAAAATTCAGGTACACGAAAAAACTAAGCGAATGAATAAGATTTTTTATACTTTTTGCAATTTATTTTTGATCTGAACTTATATATTCTTTGAAATATATTGGCCGCCTATGTATGGCACTGTTTAACTGTTGTAAATAACTTTATCCGAGAAGAAATGTTCATGGAAAAATATAATACTAATTATTCAGCAATACTGAAAACTCTAATGCTATTCCTGATAAAAAGTTTTCAAACAAATTCAAAATTTTTTAAAAAATACTATAATTTTCGAGTTTTAAAATATTATGGTATAAATATAAAATACAATAAAATATTAAAGTGATTGCAAGTAGGCAAAAATAATTGAATTGTTTATTATTAGAAAAAAAAAGTAAAAAATAATATAATTTTAATAACAATAAAGTTATAATTACAAGATATTAAATAATTTTAAATATTTAAAAGAATAATTTTAATTTCTTTATAAATTCACATTTATTTTATATTTATATCATAGTATTTTACATTTCAAAAACTAGAATATTTATAAAGAATTTTGTAATATTGTTTTTGATCAGAAATTTTTCATTAGGAATAGTATCATATATTATAAAATCTTACTAAATTTTATTTAATAATATATTTAATAATATTTGAAAGTAGACACAATGTTACTTTATAATACTATCAAATTTAATATAATTTCAATAGCAATAATGGTATTATTTTCAAATGGTATCAACAATAACGTTATCCATATACAAATTGAGCAATAACGTTGAATTATCTTTTGCATTTCTGTTATTATTCCTTTAATAATGATAAAATTTCAGTTATTATTAGACTTTGGAAATTTATACATTTATAGAAAATATAAATCTATAAAAATTTACAAAATGCATGATGTATCGTGCAACGCACGATATGCAAAAAAAGAAAATTCAATCTAAAGTATATATGATTATGAAACAAATTTTTATTTTAATTTTATTATTGTACTCATGTTCATAAAAATTTAAATTTGCGACCTAATTTTTTATTATTTTAAAACATGCCATACACTAACTAATTTTCTAGGATTTTGAAGTATAGAAAACCAGTGTAATCTTTCTGTCGAACCTCTGACTCCTTTTCCTAACGCAACCTTACCGATATAAATATTATTTGATTTCTGAATTGATGTTAATGAATCTTCACTATCACTCGGATGGTCCATAATACTCGCAACAATATCAAGAGGTACAGCCTGAAAATATTTTTTAATCATTCTAAATTTTAATTCATTCATTGTTATTTAAAATCATTAAAATTAATACACACTTTGCTGCATAGTACGACAAGAAATTGCACAATGTCTAATTGATTATACAATACGTCAAATGTCAGAGTTTCGTTGAACTCTGTTTGTGAATTCGCAATGACAGATTTAGTCTTTTTTTTTTTATTCGATGTCCAGTTCGTCCATTGATCATCAATATCTTAACATAAAAATCTGAAAATTCCAAATAATAAACTTAGCTTTTCAAGTGGAAGAGAAAATGCGAGGATGTGAATTATATGTAATGCTTACTAAAATTGTTTAAACTCGACACTGGTGGTGTAAACTTGACATCACGTACTTTCATTACATTTATAGCTAGTCTCTGTGCTGTGGGTAAATAACTTATACCTAATAAAATGTTTCCAAATTCCTGTAACATATAGAAATAACTTATTTATAATTATCTTTATTTATTTCTTTATTATTTTTTTTATATTAAAAATATGTAAAAAAAAAAATTGAAATATGCAATATGCATATTTTATAGCAGTACCAAATTAGATGGTTTCATCCTGAAATTGAACATATGAATTTCCGGGCTCTGTAGAACGTGCTTCACTTCCTTCATGGATACTTTCAAGCTGCACAATTCCGTGTCATTAGCATATCTGTCATGATCGTATGCCATAAAGTCGAGAATCCATTCCTAGAAAAAAAAAATGAGTTAGATATAGTTAGTATAAGTAGACTATGCATAAATATTATGTTTACTTTTAACTATACATTTATAATATTTTTGACTAAAATAATTGCTACTTTATGCTGTTTACTTCCTCAATATTTTTCCTTCATAAATATAATTAAAAATACTTTATAAAAAACATGTTAAAAATTTTATTTTATATGATTTTTCATTTATTTGATTTATATTTTCAAATGTAATAATTGCTATTTAATTATTTTCATTGATTTTTGATATCCACTTTCTAATAATAAATATTATTATTGAATTATTATTATATTATTATTATAATTTTGCAGACAATACATAACAATTTATATTACTGATTAAATAATTTTAATTTATATTATATATGTGTATATATATATAGAAAGCTAAAAGTAAATGATATTTTTATATGAATTTCTCGTGTTTATAAAATCTTTAAAATCAACTTTCTAAAGATATTTCACAAATATATTAACTTTCTAAAGATATTTCACAAAATACTAACACCCTACATATATTATATATATTATATTATTATTACATTATTATATTATATTATTATATTAATTTTTAACAATATGGAATAGTTTCTTGCTAATCATCCAGCAATATTCAGTTAGTAATTACGAAACAATCTATAAAATTCAAAAATCATTTAATGAGGAAATATTATTGAATTTTAAAATTGTTTAAAAATTTTTAAATTATTTTTTGTTCAAAAATATACTTAAGAGGCACGTACAATACTTCTGTACATATACTATCTTATATAATTAAATATATTAAAATCTTATATTAAATACAATAATAATAAAATAACAAAATTGTATATACCTTAACTTCCTGAGGACTTACGTTCGCTACACCGAACGCCTCTTTAAAAAGGGGACTCGCCGTATGCCTCATACTTCTTGTTCGAAAACTATGTAGCCTTTGTCGTTTCCTATGATTCCACGATTGCTTCGTAATGTTTAGTGTCACGTATGGCTCCAACGTACAATTGTATTGCTTTGGAGGAAGACCAGATAACGCCTGTACATTATTGAACTCTTTGACTGAACTCTGAAGTTTGATTTTATTAAAAAGATATAAGGATAAATATTTTCAATTCAATAAAGCTACATCTTATTAATACATAAAAGGCGGTAGTAATCAGTTTTCACATAATAATTTTTGCAAAGAAAAAAATTGATTGAAATTATTTCACGTTTGAATCTGCAATTAAATTATGTACATTTTTGGGAAGAATACTATATATGTAATAAAGATTTAAAATGTAATAAATGTATAGTATAGTATATATATATATATTGTTATTCAATATTTATTTATCTAATAATCATTTATCTAAAATTTAAGTAAAAATATTAATATAAAAATGTTTACTATTCCTAATTTATTAGACAATGCATGTATTTTCTTGAATAGATTAAAAATATCAACTAAATTTAAAATAAATCTAAATAATATCTTTAAATTACTGAATTATTTTTAATAGATTTTATCCTGATAATCAACATTATTATTTTAATAAATTATTTTTCTTCCAATATTGAATCAATTTGTATCGAACGAACAATCCTAATTGTATCATTACATATATCATGTTAATATACATTACAATTAATTGAACGAACAAAATATATGCAATACATCAGCCAATCATTTTATTTTACGTATATTTTTACCATTTTAAATCAGATCTGAAAATATATGTATTTACTAATCAAAATTTACATTTGATTATGACATTACATTTACATTATGAATACATTTACATTAAATTAATGTATATACATTGTCTAATCAATATATACGTTTAATGACAATGAGTTGACGCTTTTATTGCATATATACATATTCTTATCTATATATATTTTTTTTATCCCATTTTATCATTATAAATCGAAAGAAATCTTTACAATAATCGATTCATTAAAGATTCATAACTCGATTTCCATTCTGAATTAATGTAAAGTAACGATCAGATCAAAGAATAATACCTCGACACCGATAACGAGTTTACCGGTAATAGTCTCATCGCAAGGCGGCAGATACTGCAAGCTTATTGTCAATTCAGTGGGGAATTCTTTTTGTTTCTTCTCAGCTTTTTGCTTATCCTTTTGCACCAAGTTCTGTAACGTGTCACACTTGAATAAGTTAACGAGGAAGCTCACGTAATTAAAATGAAATTTAGCACGGATAACGGCACTTACCAGGGTGGATGAGGTATCGGTAAAACCAAACTGAGCGTTGCTGGAATTATAGGAATTCTCGTTTGGACTTGCATTCTCATCGATCGTACCTGTGTAATATTTATTAATATCATAATGAAACGAATGTCATGTTAATTACTTTTAAATTAGTAAATAATAAAAATTAATTGATGATATTGGAAGTAAGTAATGATAATTGAGGTTAGGATTAGAGAAAATAGATTTTTGAAATGGATTTTAATAATATATATAACTATAAAAAATATTTGCATTTTACATTAGATTACTTTATATTAGATTATTGCATGAAATAGACAATATTGAACAATATTTATATTTATTTTATTCAATTATATCAATTTTAAATTTCAATATTATTTTATCAATTATTCTATTATAAAAAACAAATTACGCATTTTTTATTTTAATATTAAATTTAAATAATTTCTTACATACATACATATATATATATATTATATATATTAATAGAACTATTAATAAAAAAAATTGCATTAAAGAGATAAACAATTTGTATTGGTATAAAAAATTACGATTGAAAGATATAATCATAAAATACAAATGAAAGAATTATTAATAACAACCCATTAAATCGATCAATTGCAGTAATTTTAATTTTGTTTTTATTTTTATTTTTATTTTTGATTTTTTCATACAAAAATTATAAGTTCAATTTTAATCAATACTATTGTCAATAAAACTATATTAAGACTAGGTTATTTTATTTGCAATAACCTATTATAATACTATTTTACATATCTATCATACATATATTGAACAGAACTGTAATGTCCATTGTTGCATTTTTAATGATTTTATTTATTTTGCATTGTTGCATTTTTAATGATTTTATTTATATGTTATAAAAAATAGAATGAATTAATATATTTTATAAAAATGCTTCGATGTGTTTCAGTCAAATATCGAAAGAAAAAAAAATGACCAGAAACAAGAAATAATTTATTTTTATGCTATTCACAATAAATACTAGGAAATTTTAAATTTTCAAAGAAATATGCATGTCTCAAAAACTGGAAATTCCAATTGCTGGACATAAGTCTGTGATAGTTAAATGGATAAACAGTGCGACAATCAACTAAGTAATTTTTATTTTGATAAAAAAATAAAAATTTGAGAATATTTAATATATTCAGTATATATAAAATTTTGACCAATATTATAAAATATAATTTTATATAATTTTACCATTGCTGCTGCCTTCGTAGAGGCTGCCCAATCTCCAAGATCTGTAGCTGACATCGTTCAACTTCACATTTTCATTCTGTTTGCCTTTCAGACATAATGGCACACTTTTTGCTTCTCTTTCTGCAAAAAAGAGTTGTTCTTGGCTTTGCAATTTGTAATGTATGCAACTTTAGTTAATCTACTATACATTATTTAAATATATTATAGTTTAATTTCTACAACAATTCGGATTAAAGTATTATTTATCATTCTCAACTTTTAAACATCTTCAAAAAATAAAATCATTATAAATATATTTTTTTATCTTCTATATTCATTTTATCGAATATGAGTTAAGAATAATTTTCTACTTTGTTCTACTTTTCTTATTTTTAAATTGTTATTCTTATATTGTCATCAATGTTATGTTATTTTACGCATATAAATTTGCATCTCGTATAAGAGGTGAAGAGATAAAAAATTAATCATAAACGATTAATGTTATGTTAAATAAGATTTACATGATTTTCAAATAATAAAAATAATCATAATAATAATAATTATACATGGAAGATTCAAATTAAGTTAAGTTCGTATTTTCTAAAAATGTACAGTGAATGATAAAAATACTATTTGCAGGGAAATTCTGACTTTAATAAAAATTTTCGTATATATAAAAACGTAATAATTAAATAATGAACAAAGTGTTTATCATTAAATTGACAAGAATAAAATACGAAAAAAATATGCGCTAATAATATCGTGTAACATGCAGATTTTTTGCGTGTAAATTTTCATCGATGCATCATTGAATTTGGAAAAAATATTTGTAATTCATTGTAACTTGTATTATATTATCATAATAATTATACATATATTATTATTAATTACATGTTAATAATCATTATTAATAGCTAATATTACGTACTCTTCACGTGCATAAATCATAAGAATTATCGATATTATTATCGACAAATATTTATAATATTGATATGTTGTCGATAATTCGATATATCGTTAACAATATCTTAATAATATATCGATAATTGAATATATCGATAATTGATAATCGTTAAAACTTAAGCATTGATGTTATATGCTTTTTGCACATTTATTGTGCATAAACATTTGAAATTTTTTAAGAAGAAGAAAATTCTTTGATGCTGTGCGGATGGACGTTTCCGTAGGCGCTTGGAAAGTTATATGCAGTTAGTTTGTAGGATGACATACCTAATTACGTAATATCACGGAGGAAACGAAGGAAACATCGTTTGCATGTGTGTATAAATATAACTGTGCGAACAATGGCGTAATGTATCAACTACGTATATGCACGATTCACGATGCAGGAATTTAAGTTTCCTTCCTTTCAGAGAAGACACAGCTTTTTGTTGCATAAATATTGTTTCAGGTGAAAAAATTGTTCTCTAATGTAGATATTGATTTAAAATGTGCATATCTTCATTTTGTATTATTGTTGTTTATGATACAATGTTATACGACGAATTATAATTTTGTTATTATTTATATTTGAGAGGGATAAAAATAAGCACTAGGACAATGCAATTTTTTATTCAAGTTGGCTTAGTTGGAGAATTTAGACAGATATAAGATGATTAGATCAACTTAATTCTTTATATTCTTTAAATCCTATTGCATTGATGCAACATTCATTTAAAAAAATGTGTTAAAATATCTAGATAATAATTATCTCTAGATAATAATTATATATCTAATTCTTTAAAAATGATATAATAGAAATTAACATAATAAAAATTCTTATTTTTATTCAAAACGATTTTCAAATATTATTTTCTTCCTTTTTTTCCAAGATTAATAATATAACTTTTGATAATTTTTTTTTAATACTGGTAGTTATACTATGTTTATATTTAACAAATTACAAAATTGTTTTCAGTTTATTTTATCCAACTGAATTTTAATTTATAGCAGTGATTTTGAACAATTTGAGGTGAATTTGCTTCACAATTTATTGATATAAAAATTAATTAATGTAAATATAGCTTTAGTGATTAATGGTGCAGGTAACATACATACATGTAAAAGCCATAAATAATTTATAAGTTTAATATTAATGATTTTGATTTCAATATAATAAAATGCAACACAGTAAAATAACCCAGTTACAGTAATATTTTTTTCATTAATGAATTTTTAAAAATAGAAAAGAGATACAGTTTTCAGATAAAATTTTCATTCATCTGAATAAATCATTAAAATAATATAAAAGATATTTGTTGATATAAAAGATAAAATTACTCTGCAAAACAATGTAATTTATTCATTTTCATGATAAGAAATAATAATTAGAGCTTAATCAAATAAATTCATTATATTAATACTAAAAATATTGAGTCTCACATTATAAAAAATTTATTATTATGATGCAACAAAGTTTTCTTTTATATTTTGATTAATACTTATTTTATTTTTTAAAAATTATCCATAAAAATAATAATTAACATAGAAAAATAATAATTTTTAATAATATCAATTCTTTATATAAATTTTAATACAAAAACAATTGAAAAATATTCTTCAAATTATTTTCAACTTTAAAATTTATCGCTAAATGTTCATTAAATAAGCCATTTATTTAATGTTATTTAATGTGTTTTATAAAATATGACATATATTTTTTTTATTCTAACCTTGACAGTTCCAGAATAGTTTATTAAATAAATAGATCTATTTAAATATAGACGCACTTTAATAATATGCACATAGGAAGAATAATTTCTTGAATAATTCCCACATTTTTATCATTTTTTATGTGTAAACGCGTGTGAAAAATCACTGTTCCACATAGTAATCGTAACGCATCAAGCATCGTTCCGCGAGTGGACAAACGCGAGCATCCGGTAAAACGAGCGATTATCAAGATATTAACGAGCGCATGCGCGTCAAAGGGCTTGAAAGATATCAAAAGCGAAACGTACATATATACACAGGACAAAATTATTTTTTCTCGGCACGCGTTTCATCTACACGCACGTGTGCACGGAAGCAGAGTTCTTAAACGTGTCGAGAAAATTAAATATTACTACTTAGCTTGGTTGCCAGACGCGTTTAATCAACACAAAGATGACTAGCACCAATTGCCTTACATAAATTTAAACAGCTAATGAAACAGTCTATTTAACGGACATTTTAGTGAATTGAAAGTTTTCGATTAATTTGAAAGTATCTTTTGCATTAAAATTTGTGAAGAATTATTATTTTTTTATATTTATATATTATTATATTAATTACACATATATGTATATCATGGGTGAATTTTCATTTAATTAAATTAATTATTGATCAGATACAATCATATTCCACTCGACTAATTTTAATTTTATAATTAAAGAAGATGTAGAATATAGAATGTCGCTTCTTTCAAAAACAGATTAATATTGATATAATAGTTTATTAGATATAACATCAGAGTATTAATATATTCGTGGAATATCTATGGAATATTTATATTGGAATATATTCTAAAAGTAAAAAAAAAAAACACAAAAGTTAAATAAAAATATCGATTGATATTTAGTTATTAAATTTTTAAAAATTTGTCTGTCATGAGAAAATAATCATTTCTAGAGTAATAATGAGTATATTCATCATACAAACAAATAAAATATATCTTTTGCTATAAAAATTGAAAATTAAAAATCGAAAAAAATATATTGTATTCTTTAAGTAGAATAAAGATATCAAATAGGCAATAACTTTTTATGTTTTTAAAAATATTATTTTAATATTTTTACAAATGAATTAACAATTACACCGTACAAAATTAAAATATTCTTATGAAAATGTCATGTTTTTTTAACTTAATTACTTTTTTTTTTTATTTAAATCTCAAACAAAGAATTTGTTACTGTTCAATATCATTTTAGTAATTAATCAAATTAGTAGAGTTTTGAAAATGCTAAAAATTGAATTCGTAATTATAATGTTATTAGCTAAAATATTTTCAATTTAATGATATCGATAAATCATAAATAATATCGCGTAACGTTAAAGAAATCCTTGTGTTACGAGTAGAACAAAGGTTACCGCCACGTAGAATTTCGCTCTATATTTGGAAGGATTTGCAACAAATGACACACTTTGAGCCGTTGGAATTCAACTAAATGATTGCTATTGCGAACAGAATTTTCTCACACTGGAAATTAAAACATGTACAGTGTTTACATGTACGCTTCTCAAATGATTTTTAAAAAGAATATTTTCTTTGACTATGTATACACATTACAAGAAATTTAAAATAAGAAAATTAGAATAAAACTGAAAACCTTGTAATAAAAGAATAAATTCACATGATTGTCTTTGAATTATTACACGCACTATACTTAACAAATTATGATAATTTTCGTGAAATTATTACAAATGAATCTTTCTCAAGTTACAAAATCCTGGCTAACTTATTTATTTATATAATTATTTTTCATCTCTTGGATAGATTAACATTAATTTGATAATAAATGATCTATAATGAACTAAATAATATTCATATACATAAATATGATATAATAAATGATCTAATTGTATTTTTGTAACAATTTGCAAATAAATAGTAGTACTTACAATAATGATCAATTAGTTTACAACGCATTATATATACTAAATCAATGTCTTCAATAAATTAACAAGTTTATTCAATATATAATTTAATAATTCATCATAATAAAACTTACTTCGTTTCCTGATGCATTCGTATCCAAGGCATCCTGGCATTAGATAACAGGCGATCACGAGCAAGATAATGACGACGACTAATGCTATCACCACTATGATGAGTATTCGGCCCCATGGGCCAAAAAGTTCATCGTGCACCATTCACTGGAAATATTCAAACTTACTACAAATATATTGAAACTATAAAATCTGATAAAATCTATTTCGTTATTTCAATTTTTAATTTTTCTAATTTATATTTTATATATATGATAATTGAAATATTTTTCACATATTCAGAACATCACATATTCAACACGGATGAAAAACAAGAAAATTACTCATATTTGCATTTTACGTCATATTCATCTGCTGTACAATTCTTATGTTAGAGGAATATACGAAAAATATGGTATGTTAATGCGAGTAGAAAACACTTGTGCTTTTTACGCTCGTTTTTATCCGTTCGAAAAAAATGGAAGGGGATTCCTAATGCAGAGAAGTACACATATATAGGTACACATTGAGTCGAATAAAACCGCTGCGCTTCAATTTTTTTTTCTCTTTACTCGTTGCACTTGCGTAGTTTTTCAACCGTATCGGGATAAAGCACCTGTTAGAGGAAACATATATATCGAGTGCACCAGAAAAATGGCATATGGCTGATACCAACCGAATTAACGGTTTTATCTTAAGTTAAGTCACTATTTTTAGCGAAAAACTATTATGAATAACGTTATCTATATCAACGACTGTGCTTTTCTTCTTTTTCAATATCACGTATCCTAACTATGTAACATTTTTTTTTTAAAATCACCGTTTGTTCTTCTTTTTTTTTTTCGCAGTTATGACGTCGATCTTGTATCGAATTTGTAATTCGATCGATATTCGATGAATTTTTGAAATACTCACTCGACCAAGAGACAGTCTCATAACGTGAGACAAGTTTGATAGTGTTAGGTTAAATTAGGTAACATTTACGAGCTGTATCGAAAAAAAACGACAAGTAAACCGAGAAAGGACGACTAATCGGTACGAATGTCCTTCGCAAACCAAAGCAACGACTTTAAGCGCTCTCGTCAACTACCGATGAACGACAAACGTATATTACACGCGACTGCATAGAACGAAGAACGAGTAACGTGCTATCTACGTGCCCCTCTCCAACTTACGACGACACTGCCTAGTCCGCCGGTAGCTGGCGGTGCGCGACTTACGTTTAATGCATACTAAACGAATATCCCAAACAACGGAGAATTTTCAATTCTGATTCTATAAACGATGGAAAAAAAGAATATTCAAATACACATGAATAAAACTATTATTTTGGTGATACTCATCCGATTTCTTCCAAATCTGATTCATGATTCTTGGAAAAGATCCAGGTGTCCCCAACGTGTGAATCACGAAGGCGAGTTTCATAGACATATAAGAATGTTTTTTTGAATTTTTTATTTAAATATATGACTTATCTAACTATTATGCGTCGCTAAATATATAAATTTTCAATTTCGAACGAAAACAATTGAAGGATTTACATTTATCGTTTTATTTATCTAACATTTCGAATAAAATAGGATGAAATTTTAGAAAGTAATGAAAAAGTTTTCTTCGATAGACATTTTACCGTATTACACCGTTATACGTAGTAAACCTTAATGTTCAACGAGGAAACTGTGGGTTACGACTGATAACATGTATAGTCTCATGCATGTGTCCACGTTTTCTATCAACAGCATTGACGATAGAACGCATATAGACAATATTATTGTACGTTTTTTTCAACAAAATTTTCTTCGCTTCATATTTGCATTTTTTGACAAATTTTCATTAATGTTTAATAAATTCATTTGATCATTATACTTTAATTTTATTAATTTAAATATGTCAAAGAAAGTATTATAATAGAATAACATTGAATAATTACAATTTATATATCAATGAATTGCATAAATATTAAAAAACTGTATTTTTGAAAAAAAATATATTTAAAAGTTTAATAGCATTTTATAATAAATATTTTTTTTTGTTATATTTATAATTTTATGTAACTAGGTACAGTAGAACCTCGTTTATACGAACGAATTAATGTTTAATGAGCGTAGTTTCAGTTATGCGAATGTATATTTTTATAGGCCAATGATATGTTTGCATTTTGCAATTCATTAAGAAACTTATAAGTATATAATATATAATTTCAATTCCAGAACATAAAACATTTTTAATACTAATATGAAAAAAATATGTAATAATAATAGAAATCATTAAACAGAACATTTATACTATAAAAAATAATTAATAAAAATTAATTAATAATTATAAAAATAACTAATTTTTATTTAAAATCTTTAAATTTGCAAGTTTTTTTAAATGATTAAAAAAATGATCAGATGTTTTTTACCAATTATCACTGACTATTATCAACTGTCATCAATTATGTGGTCTCGTATTATAATTCTGACTATTATTAAACATATAATAGGAAACATTTTTTGAAGAAACAAAATAATATATTTTAGTTTTTAAAATGTTAACATCTTTTTTATATAGTTAGAATTATATCAAAAACAATGGAGAGATGTTAGTGAATTTCTTTTGTGAAGTTATTTATTTATATATCTTGATAGTTATTTGAATTGTCTTTAAAGTATTCAAATAATGATTCTACTTTGTATTTGTATATTGTTTATATTTGATCATAGGTGTTTGTAAAAATTTAAGAGTTGATTTTTTAAAATAAAATAAGAAACACAAAAATAAAAAATAAATATAGGTTACTTAAACAGTGATTCTCAAATCCAATTAAACACAAATAGCAACTTATTTCATAAAATGTTTGCCTGCGTATTTTTATTGATTTTTGATTATCAATAATTAAAAAACGAAATTGAAAATGCAATTTTATTCTCAACAATAATAATAAATATACTACATTTAACCAGATACAAAGATTATTTTGCGTGTTATGTTATATAAAAAAGAATAAAATATTTAAAAAAATTTTGAATGGAAATATTTTTAATTAAATATTATTATTGTACTACATATAATTGTAATATAAAAATAATAAAAAATAATATTTTTAATTATATTAAAACAAAAGCATTTACATTTGTTTAAAATATTTTATTATATTTAACATTATATTCTTGATCATTATTAGAAATATAATACTTAAAATTACTATTCTCCTATCTTATAATATATGTTAATTAACTACCAATGTTACTTCTTAATGAAAATAACATTGAGACATCATACAAATAAATTAAACTAAAATTATTAATCTAGATTTATATTGGCATTTAAATTTATTCCTTTTTTCTTTTTACTTTTATTTTTTGAATAATTAATTTATTTTTATATTAATTAATTTATCGATATAATTAATTATATAAAATAATTAATTATTAATATTTATATTTTTATTTAATTATTTATATCATAATAAAAATAATATTTTAATTATCTTAATTAAAATCTATATTCTAATTTATAATTATCAACATTGGCTGTGCATTGTTATCCAGTGCTGCCAACTATCTTCAATGTAAAATATAATAGTAAATAGTTATAAGTGTTTCCTTTTGATAGTAATTTGAGCAATGGTAGACAAATTATCAATCTTATACTTGACAAACTACTCAGTAATGGAAAATTTATGTCAATATTTAAGAAGCAACTTCAACTTCCTTCACATCGGAGAAAAAGTTTTTCAAGTATGTTGCTTAATTAAATTAGAACTTGTTTGCACTGATCAAGTTTTATTACATGTATTTGTTGCTCTACTTCATCTTATTATTCATTGAATTACAACTGTATCGGTATATATATACGAGAAAAGGATTTCTAAAAAGAAAAAAGATTCTCATTAAAAAGAGACTTTCTTGACTCTCGATTCTATCCGGATATATTGTTAAGTAAATTTTAATAAGTTTCGTTACACTTTTTTCTTTCATTAAAAAACAACTTGTACATTAAAGAAGAATTAATCGATAATTGTGTTAATATTAACTAATAAGAAAACGCTTAACCACTTTTAATAATCATTAGAATTAATAATTATTTCAAATAAAAAAAAATAAATGAAATATTGAGAAATAAATTATTTTCAAATAATTTTATTTATCAAATATTAGATTATTTTAAATAGTAATAAAAAAAATATCTAACAAATAATAAAGTTTTTTTTTTACACTAGAAATACAGATTTCATCAGATACATCAAGAAGTATGTAAAAAGAAGTATAAAAAAAGAAATAGGTTAGGTATCAGTTAAAAAATCCAAACATATACTTACAATTAAACAAAAGAAGAATGACTTTTGAGAATAAGAATTCTAAGAATTGTAAAAGAAATTATTTCATCGCAAGAAAATATATTTTTATTTTCATAATTGCAATCAAATAATGAATATGTAAGTATTAAATAAAATAATAAATATTAAAATAATTTATTTTCAAAATACATCATATTTTTATTATATTATATTTCAATATATTATATTTCATATTATATTATATTTCAAATATTATTTAAGATAAAATAATATAATAAATAAAAAGTAAAATATAAGAATTTATTTTGATTCAATTATGATTATACGTGCAAATTAATAAATTAATAAATTGATTGCCCATTCATCGATATATTCTATTTAAGAATTAAATATATTTGAATTATTTCTTTTCATAAATTTTAATAATCAATATGATTAATATTATCCAATATTTTAATAGTATTAATTTTTTTTTTTTGTGAAAAAATTCGATCAAATTATGTCATAATTAGTGTCTTCAAATAAAAAATTAATTGACTTATCATTCATTATAAATTAATATTATGATTTGTATTAATTAATTAGTTAATTAATATTATGCATTTATTATTAAGATTATATATATCGATTTCAAATTCATTATTCTTGAATGAAACATACCGATCTGCTGACAGTTGTGCAACTAGATTGCATAAAATTCAACGATATCGTGAAACATGATATATAAAATGAAAGAAACTGTATATCAATCGTATATTTTATTTTGAATTCCATCAGTTAGAAGAGATATCTGAATTAAATTATTTTTCAGGTAAGATTTTAGAACTTCGCAAATTTTTAAACAAATTTATTTTTTATTCTTTTTAGAGTAATCATTTTTATATTATTCTTCATTTTATTTATTTATTTTTATTTCAAAGAAAATATATCCAAATAGAAGATTTTACTTTAAATTATTAAAAATAATTATTTTGTGTAAATTTTAAAAAAATATTTGTACACTTTTTTATTTATTACAACTTTGATATTTTAATTAATTAAATCAAAATTTTATATTATTTAATAGTATTTTCATTTATAAATATAAGAATATATGATTTTTGTACTATAATATGAAGAACATGATAAAAAAGATTTTATTGAAAAATAATATATGTTAATATTTTGTAGCTACTAGAAGTATTTCAAATGATTACAAAACAAATATATTATTTCAAATAATACTTCAAATAATGTCTTTTCAGGCATATCCAGATCTGATAATAGGAAGAAAATCAAGATCTTGAACTACCATTGAAAATAACAGATTATAAACGAAATTTCACTTTTGTTGTTCAACCGAGCGAATATGTAATTTCCGTTTTTTTCCGTTAGTCCTCAAACGAGAACGAACTTATATCTTATAAGGTATTTATATATTTCTATAAAATCTCTTATAAACTGTGATTAATTAAGAAATATTATTTCCAAAAAAAAAATATTCTTATGCGTCAAAAAATTATTATTATTTCAAGCGATATGATAATTTCAAACGATAATTTTTATATAATTTTTTGCGATAAAAACATTCAAGATCTCGTTAAACGGCGAAAAAAAAAAGAAGCCGTGAATTTTTCTAATTATTATTTATCTTTACAGTTTATATTTATGTGGAATGAGAATGTGTAAATTTAGAAAAAAAATTGAAGAAAATCATGAAATGGACAACTGAGACATGTCAAAAATTCACGTATTTTCGAACAGAAAATTCCTTTTTCCATTCTTTCGAAACATTGTAATCGATTTGTAATTTATACAATTTAATTTGTATACAATTCGATAAAGAATATTAATCAATATAATTACAAAAGTTTTCATTCATCTTAAATCTATTAATTCAATTATTAAATTGCGTTATTAAAACCAATTAAAAAAATAATTTTGTTTTATATTTATAATATTCTGTTTTATATTTTATATTATAAAATTATAAATCTACAAAATTTTAATATTATTTCTGGAACATTTTTCATAAGTTGATTCTAGAGATTTGAGAATAAACATAATATATAATATAATATAAATAATATATAATATAAATAAACATAAACATAAAACATAAAATATCGATTGAAGCTTATTAAATTGTAAATAATTTAATTTTTGCATATCAAATGAAGCGAGACAGAAACAGAATACATAGTGATAACAGAGATAAAGCGATTTTATTATATTTTCATTCTCCTTTCTTTAACATTTAAATTATTTATTATTTAAATAATTAACTGATTTATTTTTTATTCATTTTTATATATCAACTTATATGTTTATTTTGGTTTTTCAATACATTAAAATCAATATATTAACATTCTGCATACATTAAAATTAATTTTTTTTATAAGATAATGTATAAGAAATATATAAGACTTCTGCCATTGATTGTATTTACCGTTTCGCACATTTGAAGTATAAAATATGATTAATATATGAATATTGTGTCAAAAAAAAAAATGTATGAAAAAAGAACTGTGTAAAATAAAAGGAAAAAATTTCAGCTATATTATATACAATATTGAAATATTTATATAAGATATGCATTATTTTCATAACATTTTCTACGAACTGAGATGCATTTTTATAACAATGTTGAAATAAGTAGAATATGTTAAAAAACACTATGAAAAAGATAGTAATATAGAAAAAATATTAAATGTATTTATCTTTTCAAATCAAAGTAATATATATTTTAATATAAATAATAATATATGCATATTATTTATACAAAGAAAAAATTAACTTTTATATAATATATTTATGTAAATAATGATTTATTTGCAATTATTTACAATTAGATTTATTTAAATATTTTTCTTTTATTTCAAAAAACACTGGAGTAATATTTAAAACATAAAGCTGTAAAGATTGTCAGTTTTATCAAGTTTTTAATTGTTAAAATTAAATTGCTTTTAACAATTTAACAAATAAGCAATATTTTTTGTATATTATTTATTATATATAATTTTTATTTTAGTTTCAGTACCTAAAATTGATCTTTTAAAACTAAAATCTCATGTAATAATTCATATATTTTAATGTCATATCATATAAATATTGTTTTAAAATAAATATTAAAATAATAATTATAATAATTATAATAAATAAATATTATTTAAAATAATTTAAATTATAAAATATTTATATAATATTCATATAACTTAGAAAATATCTATAATATATTAAAATCATATTATTGTAATGAAAGATTATTTAGATTAATAGATTAATATTAGATTAATCTATTTCTGTTTAATATAAAAATATAAAATAAAATTTATTATTTTATTAATATAAAAAATAAGAAATAAAAAATAGAACACTTCTTATATTTCAATTAAACAGAAAAGAAATATTTCATTTACATTGAATCCAAATGTAAACAGTAAGTAATAAAGATATAATCAAAGTTTCATTTAAAGAAGAATTAAAAATGTTGGATTAATTTAAAAAAAATAAAATCTTAATTTTTTATTAATTATTTATTTTTTCTACAGATACTTTGTATTTATAAAATTATATTATGTATGTATATTTATAAAAATTAAAATACAAGTTTATGTATTAAATGAAATTTTCTACATCAAATAAAAATATAATATTTTAATATATATTTATATTTTCTACATAGATTTTTACATTGTTTTTTAAAATTTCTGTTAAAAGGGCTTTAAATGACATATGATATGTACAACTAATGTCGCAAATTTGCTTATCTACAGATAAATTTTAATGCAAAATTAAATAACAAGTTTTAATCGATATTTTCGTATAAAACTTCGATCTTTAGAATCGAAATTTTTCAAAGATCTTTCATGAATATATTAGCACTTCATATAAATCGTGCTTTTGTTCCCGATTCTATCTATATTAAAATATTTTTTACTATTCAAATATCTTTAAATGGAGGGGGATAACAAGGAAACGTAGAGAGAGTTCATCCTCGATCTATCGAGTCTCTTTGGTGACCTCGATCCCCAATCCGACATCTCCTTTCACTCGAACACTTTTCGAGAGCTCTTTCTCGCACCGATTGTCGAGAAACGCGATTGCATTCGATCGCGCGCGCGACGTGCCATAGCCCGACTCAAAGTCCCGTTACCTGCCAGACGTTTAGATTTCACTTTCATGTAAGTACCAAGAGCCACAGATATACGTCTAGTTGGTGAACATTTTCGCACTCGTCGAGATCGATCGAGAATCAGTGAGTCGAGATTTTGCATCTTCGGAACGTTTGCATCGTTATTTGATCACTTTTTTTCCTATATTGATTTTCATTATGTGACAGTGTGTTCGGAAAAAGATATGAATTTTTTAATTCCGTCTGATTAATTATTACTTCTACGAAAAATTTGTAACATTTGATTTCATTTGAATCTTAAGAAAGAAAAGATTACCATCAGTGTTGTTTTAATGTTGATAATGAAAAAGTTCATAAAACAAATTATAGATGGCCCTCAAACAATACGAAGTTAGAAATATTAATTTTCGTTGAGAGTCAGTGTAAAATTGTGTATTCACTGTGTAATTTTCTTATGATAAAATAGTATAAAAAAAGTATAGAAAGTGAATTAGAAAATTAGATTAAACAAATAGATTGATTAAGCAAAGTGTGAGAAAAAGAAAATATAGTATCGTGCGTATATGTATGAAATGTAATTTATGATTTATAACCGTTATGAAATTTGTTAGGAAAAAATTTGTGAGTAACTAAATCTACATTATTAAAACTCATATTGTTTGAGGGCCAATATAATAATTTCTTCTCAAATTTAATCAGTTTGTGATTAATTCTAAAAATAATATAAAATTTTTAATCGTAGAAGCTATCGAAGTTCGGCAATTCGAATTCACTTTCATGTTTTATTGACATTTTTAATCCATGGACGACAAGAAAAAAGAATATAGTGAGAATAAGTGATAAGTGAAATAAAAATGAAAGAGAGATACATTTAGATTTTTTATTAGTGTTTTTTTATCAGTAAAATGATAATAAAAATATAATGATTTCATAAAAAAATTAAAATTATTATAAAAAAATTAAAATAAATATTTGAATGCAAATAAAAATCTCGAATTACCGAACTCGACTTATATTAATTACAATTAATTAATTTCAAGATTATTGTAAAAATAATAAATTGCGGCTATTATTAAAATAATTATTGTCATTTATAATGTTACAATTTATTTTATTCCTAAATAAGGTTTAAGAAAGGATGATCGATAATTGAGGATTTTAATCAAAAGCGAAAGATTTACAGAATAAAAATCGTGCAATTTCCATGTGTGTAGGACTATTTGATGGAAAAATGTCGAACATGACAAGCATATTAGTGAAATTATGTATCCTGATGCTTCTTTATGAATGTAAGTGATGATTATACATTACATATATTCCGTCCTTCGCCTATTTTCAACAGAAAGTAAAAAACTGTTTTGCATAAATTATTAATCGTAATCTATAGAAAAACATATCTATAAATATTTATAGAAAAGTACAAAAGTAATAGAGTATATTTGCAATAAATATTTAAATGTCAATATGCCTCATAGATTTTAATTAAATTTTTTTTAATATTTTGTTATAGCATATAACGAGAAAAATAAAAAACTTCGGAAATCGGATTCTGATAAAAAATTTTTACAAAGAAATTTTCCATATTATTATTATTATATTCAATTATTAGCTTAGAAAGTAATATTTCATTTAATTCAAACTCGTTAGTTACAAAAGTGACAGTTAAACGGGGATATAGGTATTTTGAGAATTTTATATTTATTTTTATAATTAGCGGTTTCTTTTCGAGAAGAAAGTTTTACTGGTAAGAAAGGATAGAAAAAGTATTTCTGAATAAGATAGAAAACAGCGTTAATGTTTTCTTTTTTGAGGTGTATCTTGACTTTCTAGAATTAATTATGCGTGCCTTAAAAAATTGAAGTTTTAGTTTCAAAAATTACAATTAATTAAGCATATGCCATTTAAAAAAATTATAAATACATATTAAATACATAAGTTTCAATATACAAGTTAAAAGTACATAAATTTCAAAGTCGATCTATTTTCTCAGTTTAGCATTATAAATTTTTAAAAGAAAGACAAATAAAAATTAAGAAAAGATTCGATAATTTTCGATTCAATATAATTATTATAATGTTATTAATAATAATTATTATATGAAAATTGGTAATATGGTAACAATCTTCATCGAAAAATAAGGAAAGATCGATGATATTAAATTTTTATTGAAAAGAAACGAATAATAATATAATAATAATAATTACATAGTAATAGAAACATTATTATTAATTATTGTTTCAGATGCAACATGTCTTGTTATCCCGGAGGAGTTACCAACAATACTTTCGTTGATCTATTCCAACATTCCACCAATCAAGAAAGGTAACGAGATTAAGTTACAACGTATCTAGCTATTCTCAAATACGAATGAAAATGAAACATTCTCAGGCACGATTTGCATCGAGAATCGTATTATCGTCGTCACGCGAATACATATCACTTTCACTGACTACTCGTGTTTTGCTTTTTCAAGCTTATCTCTAGTATACTTTCCTTGAATTTCATTAAAAGTATTAATATTCTAAAAAATTTCTTATTTAAATCTTATTTAATATTCTAAAAAATTCAAGAAAACTGAATTTCTATTTTCTTTGCGCCGCACTTATTAAGAGAAACAAATTAAATTTTATATTTCTACAAACAATATTTAGAATCTTCTTTTACTTATAAGGTAAAAAACATATAGAAATATTGAAATATTTAAAAGTATTTATTTGAAAATATTCAAATATTTCCATGTTTTGTTTGAAATATTAAAATAAAAAAATGATAAGTAAGACATTTTAATTAAAGAGAGTAATATACATATATACACGGTATTAATATAATATTCGTGGTTGATTCTAGACGTAAAACAAACATATAAAAAAATGCTTATTGAAATTTATTTATTAAATTATAACCAGTTTAAGATTATATTATATGAAATGAGAGAGAAACAAAATGGTTTCATTTAATTTAATTTAATGTGAATTCAAATTGGTTATAATTTAAATAAATAATAATTAATATTTTTATATATTTTATATATTAACTTTTACTTTGGCATTTAGAATCGAATTCAATACGAATATAACTACTAACATATTGTATATGATTGTGCATATAATTGTTAGTTTAATTATAAATTGTAAGCTTGATTAAAGTTAAAATTGTTTCATTTATGTCGATAGGTACCGATTCAAGGATAGGCATTGGTTTCCGGCTTGGCGAGCATGCAGATTTTCAAATGTTATTCGAATTAGGACCGCAAATGGAAACCGAACCCATTGGTAATACAGATACTAAAAGGCGTCGAGATGTGAGTATTCTTTCAACAAATAATCGGTAATTATCGATAATTATGTACAATTAATTCTCATCCATTCTTCATTTTCGCAACTTAATGTGTTCCTCATCTGTCAAATTGACATAATGTCAAAAACATCAATGAAATGAAAATCAACGTTCATCAATTTTCGCTAACAATACATTTTAATATCATTAAAATTGGTAAGGTGTTCTTTTTTATTCATACCTATTCATAGAATGGCTCATGAAAATATTTGAACATTTTTTTAATGAAATTTTGTACATGTAAAGCAACAAAGATGAACTCAACGTTCGAAGAACTTTTTTCCTTATTTTTTAAAACTCTGCATAATTTTTTGAACGAATAATTTTCAGTAAGATAGTATTTTTGTGAGCCACCATCTATTACGTAACTAAGAAAGTTTTGTTATTTTTTTTTTTATGATAAAAAATATAATAAGATAGAAAATCGTTTATGAAACCTGCAATATTATTCTATAAATGATTGATGAAATTTAAAGTTGAATAGAAAGTTGAAGATATTTATAATAAAAATATTTTGAATTATATATTTTTGTGCATATTTATTATATTTAATTTTTTTGCATTTTCCTTTTCCATTGCGAAAAACTAACAAAATTTTCTTGATTACTTGATAATTATTTTATTTAATTAATTTATTTAATAATTTATTTAATTAATTTTTAATAATTAAATAATTACTTTATCCTTAAATATATAATCGATTTGTCATAATTTTAATATCTTCATACAGGCGATGCTCAGCGCAGCAGTGAAAGGAGACCTGGGTCCACTAGCTCAAGCGGTGGCTAAATATCAATTGGAACATAAATTGCGGAAAGAATTGGAAAAATTAGATATGATGGAGAAGAAGTTAAAAGTGGTTACATCGGAAAATAATAATAAGAAGGTAAATTCAAATAATTCTTTCTCCTTCCTCATTTTTTTGAAAAAATTGAAAAAAAAAATCAAAACAAAATATAATGATCGTGTCTTTTGTTTCTTTTAGACTACAGGCAGTGAATGGTTAACGAAGTGGAGCAAAGAAATGACAAAATCAACCGAGGATCAAGCATCTGTGGAAAATATTTCAGGTGAAAAAAATAAATCATCTATAGAAACTCAAAGGATAGGACAACCTCCAGAATTGAACGGCGATACTATTTCTGATTTAAAGAAATTATATAAATCGCAAAGTGCCATAGAGGAAAAAGAAAGTTGAAGAACTTATTTATAATGTGTTAGAAAATATATTTTTTTAGATATTTGTATTTAATAAAATTATGGATAAGTATGTTTATAGTACGTATATAGTGAAAGTGAATAGTGAAAAGCATAAATTCATTATCACTATAAAGAATTTCAAGCAAACAGTTGCCAATTAACATTTTAACTCATAAAAGTTTTTTTCTCATACATAAGAGAATAACAAAGGTACTGGATTTTTGTTTTATGCAAAAATATATAAATATATATGAACGAATAATAATTATAATAATTTATATTTCATTCTATAATTATTTTTTTTTGAGATAAGAAAAATAATAATCGAAATATTACTATTAATTTTCAATTAAAAATTTTAATCACATTTGATTTCTGATAAGAGACAAAATCAATTTTATTCTATACAATATCTTTTGTGTTTATTCTGATTTATTTAATATGTTTTACACATATATATATATATATATATATATATAAAGAACATAATAATACAAAATAATATTATTAATGATGAGATTAATATTCTTTTAAAATTTTTCTATACATTCTATTCTTTTCTTTTAAAAAAAATTTTGATAAAATTAATGATTTAAGCATTATACTATTTGTCCTAGAATTTTTGTCCTTTTGAATTTTTTTTTAAAAAATAGGTAAAAAATATGAAAAAGGATCAACATTTTTATATTTCGATTTTATTATGAAAATGGATGTTTTGTGATCGCATTGCGAATAAAATATATGCATATAGAAGCAGAAATATGATGTTCCAAATACTTCATCCATCAAGGAAGTATCGAGCAATTACTTATTAACAACAGCATAAATAATAACAAAAAATAAATGTAATAAAAAGGGAATTATAAAGAACACTAAATAAATAATTTTGAAAATTTATTGCATAATTGCCATACATTTGTATATGATGATTTAATATTTTGAATATAAAATTATAATTATTAATATTAAATTGTAATAAAATGTTTTGAATAAAATGAAATTATTTTTAAAAAAATTTTTAGAACTATTATAAATAATGTCATCTCATGAGAGCAACATTATTTGAACTTCATTGTAAAATTATATTAAAAAACAATATAAAATATTAATTTTCATGTTGTTTTTCTTCCAAATCCAAATATTGTAGAATGCATTATTTTTAATATTTTAACGTTATTTGAATATTATTTCAAATTTTTAATAAATAAGAATTTTTTTAACTATTTATTTATTTCATATTTGATAATTTATATAATTTCTACGTTGGTCATAGTAAGTCGTAGAAAACATAAAAATGAAAACTTATATGATCGACGTTTAAAATGTATAATATAAAGTTATATAATATAAAGTTTTATAAAATATTGGATTTATTGAGTTCACTATCGATGATTATATATCATCATATAAAAAAGTTTAACATTTAAACAAGAGATTAAACAAGAGATTAAAGAACATTATCAAATTCTTTCTTGTTGATAATAATGTGTGATAAATTTGATCACAAGAGATGGCACCACAAGTTAAATACTAAAAAAAATTAATTTTACATGTCGTAAATATATTTTATATTCACATATCTACACTGATTCCTAAATTCCTAATAAGAAAAAGCATTGTAATGCAAATGCAATACGCAAAAGCATATCTGTGTTGAATTAATATTCATTATCGGTCTCCGATATTTTGATTTAGTAAGGATTTGATAAGGATTCCTATATTATCGACTTAATAATAAGCAATAGATATAAAATAGACAAAAGATAGTATTGTTCATCAACAAAAGAATCACAAATATAAATATAAAAGATATTATCTAGTCTGTGCCAATGATTCTTGATCCTTATTTTGATATATAAAGCTTTCTCTATCATCATATAACAAATTTTCTTCTATCAACAACCGATATTAAACAAATTAAAAAATAAGAAAGTGGAAATCTACACTGTTAATTAAATCGATATCTTGGAAATTATTTTTGAAATAAAAGTAATTTGTCAACAATATAATATTGCAATCTTGTAAAACATTTGAAATAAACAGGTGAGGATCAAATGAAAGAATATGTAAAAATAAAATTTAATATAAAAAATCATTTATAATATGATGTTTAAATGCGATCAAAAAACACATAAATCAAAAATTACGCATACACTTTAAATTTTATCGCATAGCATCAGTCAGATATGAAAAAAAAATTATGCAAATAAAAATAATCTATACAAATAATCTATAAAAAATTAAAATATTATAATTTTCAATATTTTTAAAATTATTTTAAAGATTTGTTTTTGATTAATCGATATTAACATTTCAACAGTCGATAATATAGAAAATATAAATATATATATTATATATACTATTATATATTACTATATAAAAAAGTAATTCCTTTTTTCATAAATATTTTTCTCGTAAAGTGTGTATACATATTGTATGATTAAATGATGATTAAAATAATAAAAAATAATTATTTAACGAAATTAAAACTTAGTTTGTCCTTAAAATTTTTTTTTTTTTTATATACAATTATGATTTTTCATTTTCAATAAAAGATTTTGATATTATAAAAGACTTTTATATAAAGTCACCATTACCGTTTTATCTCTTTCGAATAACCTGACTGCTCTCTTGTGGATCTCGAACTCTTCTCACGAGGAGTAGATTGATGAGAGCAACAATGTACTGTTTTCTCTGCTGAACAGCAACTTTTCGATTTTGGTTTCTGCTTACTTTTCCCGTTTATTCGTCGAATGATTTCTTCGATAAATCTTTGATCTTTCTCATTTAATTCAGCTGCCAAAATGTTCCTTTGACATCCCTCTTGTCCCCTGTAATTACAAGTCAAACAGTCCTTTTATAAAAGAAATATTGGTGTCTCTTCCAAGAAATAAAATACTTCGAAAGGCTGCATTAATCGATGTTCATATTTAACCCATTAACTTTCTTCGCTAAATTTTCATTAATATGCTAAAATATTTAAAATTTTTTATAATAATAAATTATAATAATAATGACAGATGTGCGTGTATATTTTTTATAAGTTATATATTTTGATATAGTAGCAAATATGTATTTAAGAAAGTTTAATATTTTGCATAAGTTGATATTCAGAATAATTGAAAAATAATTTTCATTCTCGGAGCACATTTCAGAGATCCATTTTTAAGAAATATTTTCGAAAAGTAATTTTCAAGAATTTTGTTGTTAATATTTTTATATAAGAAAAGAGATTAAGAGAAAAGAATAAACACCGATCATAAATATTTATATATAATAGATAAGATTCTTTTGTATTTGTAAAATAAATTATGAACCAATATAGTTAACAAATAGATTATAAATTGTAGATTATAAAATTCTATTTTAGAATTTTATTTATAATTTATGTTTATTTGATTCCATTTTCTTTGTTAACAAACTTTATGCAACTTGAAAAAATTGTTTATGAGATGTGAACGAATATTTAGTATCAATACAATTCTTTATAAGATTTTTGATATAATATACATATATTATTGTATATATAACCTACAATTTATAACTTATAATTAATAATTAATAACTTATAATTTATTAATTAATTAATATCATTGATTGAAAAATTATTGTATAAGTATAAAAAGAGTTTCTTATCCATGATAAAAATTTAATAGAATTTTTATACTTATCATTAATATCACTAAAATTATCATCTTATAATACAGACTTAAATATATATATATATATCCATTGTATTTATAGATAATTGCATTTTTTCTATAATATAAATTATAAAAATGATGATAAAAAAAATAATTAAATTATTTACTATGTAAATTAATTACTATGTATATTACTATTACTTACTGTAAATTATTCTATTATAATTATATAAATTGTATTATTTATTATGTAAGACTTGATCATGAAATTAATTATTAAAAAATTAATATCTTAATTTTCGAATTACGTTAGCTATATATATCGTAATTTTTGAATTCATAGAAATAAATATATAATTAAATTAAAATTGTATTTGCCATGCAAAAGTATTAAGGAATTAATGTCTTAAGATCACGCTATACATATAGCTATACATATAGAAAATTACTATTGCACGTAGGAACAGACAAGCGAAGGGAAATCTTCGGTCTGCAAAGAGAAAAGCTCGCTCTTCTCGTTACGAAGAAGCGACATTCTCGACGGTACATTATGGAGAACGTTTCGCTAATGAAACGACTAAAATGCGGAGAATGTAACTCGTTTTAACCGATAAGGATTACCATGCTATGTTATATTCTCCAACAAAAAGTGAGAATAACTCTATACCGTGCGATTTTATTTTTTACTCCCTTTCTCTTGCTTATGCTCTGTTTATCGTTCTAACGAACATTCCTGTTGATTTATATTTTGTTTTTTCTTTATTTTTTTACCTTATTGCATCGTGTTATTTCAAGAAATTAATTGTTAGAAGTTCTCGACATCAGAGGAAATTGAAGTTGTAATCGAAATTTAATGAGCATAAAATTGTATCTACTCTCAATATAAGAGAAATAAAGTGATATTGTTCACCTTTGATAATTGTACAGTTTCGCGATTAATTTGTTCAGGTACAAGTTGTCCTTCTGTAACGACTTCAACTCTGATTCCTTCTCCTGAAATTGAATTAATCATGATTAATTCGAATTATTATATGTATATACAATGTTTATGTATTATTTTTTAAATTTTTAGTTAATTTATTTATCATCACAAGAATAATATAATATGAATAAATACAATACTGTTTTGAAATATTAATCATATAGAAGATATAAAGACTTATGAGACACATGATCATTATATATAAAATATATTAATTATACTTTATATTTATATTTAATAAACTTATACATTATTTATCTATTCTTTCTATTATTTTTATTTTATCATTTTTCAAATACTGCAATTAATAAAGCGTTTGTCATAAAAAAATCAAATTATTTATATTACGTTCAATTTCATTTCAATCAGAACTTTATCATTATGTCAATGAAATTTTTATGAAGAAAGAAATAAAAATTAAATAAATTATAACTATAATTTACTAATAAGTAAATTAATAAGTAAATTAAATAAATTATAATTAATATATAAGTCATGGTGTGCATTTAAAATATATAATTACAGATCATAATATGCATTTAATAAATCTTAACATCATTACCATTAATGTGTTTGTCGCAACTTTGAGTTCGTCGTTGCGAGTTTCCGAAAGATGACGAGCTGTGATCGTCTCTGTAGTTAATCTTGTCAACTGTTGCCTATAATTATGCTCTCGTTCCATTGCCTTATCCCATGCTTCCTCTCGTGCGATTATGGTATCTCGAAGAGTTTGCATATCCTTTTCCAATACTTCCAATTCTGACCTATTGCAATTATGTTATTTTAAAAATATGAACACTTCAAAATAATGATTATCAGTGAAACGGTACTAATGCTACATGGCATTAATATACTTAGATATATATACTTAGATTTATTTATCTTTTCATATAATTCTTTAATTATTTTATTATTTTTAATTTCTCACTTTTCAAATATTTGAATTATTATATTTTTTTACATAAACAATAAAAATATATTTTGTTAATTTTTAATATTAAAATTATGCTTGAAATTAATTGTTATGTATATTATTAAAATTATAATTATAAATATGTATTTAAAAATTAAAAATGTTGAGAGTTGAACAATTGCTCTTGGCAGTTATTCAATAATATTATGTTCAAAATAAAAAATTATTCTAACAATTCAAAGCTAGATAACTCTCCAGATATGTTTCTATTATATGAACATTATTTAAAACTAATTGTTCTATCTTTTCTTTAATTTATTTCGAATTGTTCGAACAAATTATTGAATACGAAAAGAAGAATAACGACATAAAGGATATGGTATTTACTTCGTAATTGTGACAGTAGGAGGTTGTTTCTCACAACTTTCCAATTTTCTTTGACAACCCATGCATACTGCCCAAACTTGTACTCCACGATCAGCCTTATGTATGATATTCGTAGTTGATGTTTCGATATTTTTACCCATTGACATTTGTCTTTTCTGAAAGATCATACTGAAATGTAATTTCTAGAAGAAATCAAACTGTTTTTAGACATTCGTACTCCATCTTCTGCTTCTTTCTTTATCTCCTCAATCTTCGATCTTTCAAAATCGAGCTCCTCTCGAAGCAACGTCAACCTCTTCTCTAATCTTTTTATCTCACTCCTTTCTTCTTTCAATCTAACAAAAGAATAATCAAGATTATTCAACGCTTGAAATCTGTATTTTCTCTAAAAATATGAAAAAAAAAAAAATACTTAATTGCTTAGAATTAGAATTAAATTTAAAGATGATAATATTAGATATTGAGAAATATGACTCGTTGTCTTTTTTTTAGCGTAGATTTTAAAATATGAATAATATGTTTAAAGAGATTTCATTATTAATGAAAAATTGTTAATGAGGTTTTTTAAATTGTGTTTCTATTCAAAGCAAGATTTAATAATATTGTTTTAATATGAAAATAAATCAATCAATTATCATTCAATATTTTTAATGATTATTTTATGCAAAATTAATCATTTCTTAATCTCGAATTAATTTCATTTGCTCGTAACTAAACTACGAATGTTTTATGAGAGATGTAAAAAAATTTATAAGACGTAACATGCAAAAATATTTAAAATAAAATATTCATTACGATAGTAGAGGACGAATTAAATATTTATTTAACTTCCGCTTCTTTAATTATAATGCATAAACATCTATAATCGTAACTTAATAAATAAACTTTAATCGATATTTGTATCAATTTTTACATTTGTTTTGATCTCTAAACTTCGTTCCACAATTATATTAATATCCTATATAATAAAATTAATGATGAAAATCTCTCGAAGAATAGAGAAAATTTATAGTCGATAATGCAAGTAATGACGAAGCAGAAGAGAACGTAGTCTTATGTTTTTTCAATTTTTTTCTTTGTTTTTTTTTTCTTTTTCAACTGATTCGTCTATTCAGATGCAAGCCAGAAGAATATTGATTAAGATTTGTCCATTGTCCGCGTATTAATATACTCACTGTGACGTGAGGGCTTTGTTCTCGGTGATAAGATTTTGATTACGCGTCTGCATCACAATATTGCTGTCCTCCAGGAATTTCATTTTCGTTTGTATCTTCTCCATCACGATCGCGTCCCCATGTTTTGTCGTCTCCTGCTTATAGGTCGGTGCAGTCCTTCCTGATTGTAATCGAGCATCTCCATAAGATGCTTCACCTCTTCCTAACAAAATAAATGAAAATTTTTAATATTTTATATATTTAAAAAATTTTTAAATAGAATCGTATATAATACGATACTGCTATAAAGTGTTATTAGAAGAAATTATATCTTTTTCTTGAGGTTATGTCAGTCATTAATTTAATTATTCATTATCATAACGAATTAATTATTTTTCGCATAATTAAATATAATATGGATCATTATAATTTTATTATAGATAATTTGTTCTCAAAAGCAATTTGCACGAAGAAGCATTTCAGAAATTATTATTTTATTACTATGTTCTAAAAATTTTGGCAACTTCACAAGAATCTAGAAGTTTGAACTTTAATAATCAAATTACCTGAAACATTAATATATACGATTAGAAAAAATTTTTAATAATATTGTTAAACATTACAAAATATATGTATAATTTAATAGAAATCTATGTTTGTATGATTTTTTGAGGTTAATGTTTAAACTTCAAACGTTAGTAAATTCTATATATTATCATTAGTGAATTTCATTTGTAACAAAAATTTTCAATTAAGAATTTGGTTAAAAATGTATCCATAACTTAATAAAAACTTACGTTTGTATATTTTGAGGTGCAATAGATTTCAAAAATTAGTGGATTCTGTATGTCATGACGAATAATTTCTTTATAATAAAATTTTCAATTAGAGTTGTCATAAATAAAAAAAAATTTTATTAATCCCATCAAAAGCAGCATACGTAAAAAAATATTTCAACTACTATGATACATTACATAAATAATCGATAACGGAAATATAGGAAACACATACAGTACTTGACATCGAGATGTTTAAAGCGTCAAAAGGATCATTCTTTCCATAAATGCATACGTGCTCACGCATTTTTAGTATTCTTATATCTCTACCCACAAAGAGAGGCGCTCGCATCGTGAATTTTTTTTTAGAAAACTTTATTAACTATTTTACCTGATGTTGGAGTTTCCACTTGATTCCCTTGAAATTCTAATTCTCTCCATCCTGTGGTACAATAACCTGAGATTGGAAATTGCAAAAATGAAATACAAAATAATTAATTCAAATAATGTATTTTTCATAATAATAATAATAATTTTATTATTTTGAATGTAACAGAATTAAGCGAGCAAATTGATTATTGAAAGTAAGCATAATAATCATTAATCGAGTAATCATCATAAAGTAATCTGCTTATTTGTAATCCATTAATTAAATTATTTGAATATTTGATGTATATGTATATTTATTATAGTCATAAAAATGAAATATACAGAGAAAACAAAATCTAATGTAGCTTTTCAAATAATATATAATTGAAATAGTTACAACTATAAATTGTCTAGAAGATTGAAAAATTACTTTATACAATATCGAAGATTTTTAGATTTTGAATCTAATGATATTTAAATTATATAACGAGATTTACTGAAATACATAATTCCATTTAGGTTGAATTCAGATTTTAACCTATTTATTCTGTACTTCGTGCGATTGTAATGTTATATCAAATTTGTCAAAACCATTATTCCAATTCGTCTCGAAAGAATTAAATTATTAATCAAAGATTTTCGTTCAAACTTTGGAACATAGTTGATCGATGCTTACGTAATGAATTGGCCGCCTCGGATACGAAGTCACGATACCCACCGCTTCTATAATTGTCAGATCGCGGTGTATATTGCGGAAGTAAATTGTAACGGTTACTGTATTGGCCATCGAAGTAATTTCTCTCCTTCGACGGATTTGATTGCTGATAATGTACGCAAGACATGTTGAGAGATTGTGACTATTGTCGATAAATAAAGGGGTGTTAGAGGATGTTCTTGAAATGGATCAGCAGGTCCACTTCGACCTGGATCACGAGAAATGATTGGGTTTTTTTTTTTTTACTTTTACATAATATCGTGGAAGGTATTTTTTAAAAAGTAGGATGAAAAGAAATGTTTCACGAACGAAAGACAGCGATCCTGATACTCTGAAATTTTCCCTGATTGCCTCGAGTAATCGCTAGTTGCTCGTTATTTGTTTGATGTTATAACGGTAAGGAGTTAGGAAATTTATATTTCTATTAATTGTGCAAGAAACAAATTCAAATTCTTGTTTCTTTTGCTTATAGAATATTTATTGAACTTTATTATGCTTTATTAACTTATTTAATTGATTTGAAATAATATTTAAATGAGATTATATTTTTACAAAAAAAATAAGAAATTTACCGTAAAATAATTAAAAATAATTTAAATAATTTAAAATACTAATTTAAAAAAGAATATAATTTCTTTTTCGCTCTATAACAATACATCAAGTTTTAATCTTTTCACGTTTGTGCTGTTACGCGTGAATAGATGATGCGTGAGATTTCGTACCTTCGTTCGAATAAAAATTTTAAAATAAAGATAAATTTTTCTTTTTATTCAAATACCTTTGCGAGACATTATATTTTATCATTGTTGGTAACTTTACGTAACTTTTTTATGATATAAGCAAGATGAAAGCGGATGAAAATTTATAAAAGTGTATCTTCTTCGAAAAAACTTGTCAGTTATAATGACGTTAAAGATATTACGTCTTGGTTTACTTCGAGTTGATGTTACCTGGAAATATGAGATTCTTGAGCATTTTTCG